AATAGTGCAGATGGTTTTAGAAGAGACGATTTTTGATTGAAAACTAGCGTTTGAAAGAAGAGGTAGGAAAAACGTGCATAAATTATGAACCAACCTGATATTTCCGTAGCTTTTACTGTTGTCGTTAAGACGAAAGGGATAAGCTGTATTTACTAGCTTAATTCAAAATAGCTCTTTATCCATTAGTGTATTTTTTATCTTCGTTAATGTCCATGTTGTCAAGTATATTAAATTTTATATTTCTGTTGGTGCATGTATGTTCAAAATGGTCGTAAAGGTAATTTCTTATGTTATTTTTGTTCATATGATATATGTGTTCTTTAATTGTACATTTGAATTGTCTTGTAGTTATACCAACATATTGTTTGTTACAGTCCTAACACGTAATGCAATATACTACATTTTTACTAGTACTTGATGCAAAAATATTGACCAGGAGCAGTGTGTTTGTGTAACAGTAAGTAAAGTTTTGAGTCCTGCAGAGTATACTTGGGTAATTCGAAAATTTTTCATCGAATGAATGAATATCGAATAAATTCGAAAATGAAAAATTTCGAATAAACGAATATCGAATAAATTCGATAAATGAAAAAAACCCGAATAAACGAATATCGAATAAATTCGAAAATGAAAAAAACTCGAATGAATGAATTTCGAATAAATTCGGAAGATCAAAAATATCGAATGAATGAATATCGAATATATTCGAACATTGGGAGTCGAATTTCGAATAGATATTCGAATGATTTTTCGAATAACTACTGCAACATATCTAAAACTTGCTGACATTTCTGGCTAAAACCGATTCATTCATAATCAGCACCCTCATATCCCCTACACCAACTCCTAGCTCAAGCTTTTCCAGAAATCGATGAAATCGATAAACAAAAATTTTGTTTAATCAGCACTCTCACTTACCCCCTGTACCAACTCCCAGCCCCGTAGCTCAAAGTTTCCCAAAAATCGATAAAATCGATAAACAAAAATTTTATTCATAATCAGCACTCTCACTTACCCCCCTGTACCAACTCCCAGCCCCGTAGCTCAAAGTTTCCCAAAAATCGATAAAATCGATAGACAAAAATTTTATTCATAATCAGCACTCTCACTTACCCCCCTGTACCAACTCCCAGCCCCGTAGCTCAAAGTTCCCAAAAATCAATAAAATCGATCGGCGTCCACTACATTTCAAGGGCAGTTTAGCAGTGGTGCAGCAAATGAAATTGGCTGGAGCTGAAATTTAAAAATGAGGCTTGCACACGCTATACATCTGTGGTGAGCTGGCGTTACATCTGAAGACATCTGTAACTCATTGATCAAAAAAGCATCAATTAAAGTCCACATTTATTTTTTTAATGTCGCAAGCAGTCGGAGGAATGCGACTTTCCATACAGTTCAAAGGTCGTTACGGTTGCAAAAAAAGATGCATTACCTGGTCTTGTAAAAAAAAATACGAAAACGAAGCGAGCTTGGTACTCACAGTTGGCTCTGCAACAAACTCGAATAATTTGGATACGGAGTTCATTCGAATACGAATTCGAATAAACATTCGAATAAAACATTCGAATAAAATCTATTCGAAAACCCGTTTTTCTATTATTCGAGTTTTCGAATATTATTCGAGTCCTCGTTTTTTGATTATTCGAGTTTCGAATTTTATTCGAAACCCCGTCTACTCAATTATTCGAGTTTCGAATATTATTCGAAAATGGAAAAACTCCGAATATCGAATTTTCGAATCGAATATATTCGAATGTTTTATTCGAATGATCGAATTTCTATTCGATTCGGACCCAAGTATACTGCAGAGCTATATACATATTATGTGTTCATAATTAATATTTTTGCATATGCAACATTTAAAAGAGCATCTAGTTGTACTACTGTTGTTTCCAAAGTTGTCTGGAGCGTATATTTATTATCTACCTTATACTTTTATGAAATTCTAAAATGTTAAAGTAATTGGTAGAGTCGTAGTCACAGTTTTTAAGACCATAAATAAAACTATCCTTAGGCAGGCCTTTACTTTAGATAGCTAGGAGGTAGTGATCTGGTAGGGCTGCTACGGGCCACGACAAACCCTTTATGTTTATTAATTAATTTTGATTTGTTTTCATGTAAACGAGACTCATGGAATCGCAGGAGAGCACCCACCATGCCCACTTCCACTTCTATTATCCATCATGAATCTCCCTATTTTTTGGAACAAGAATTGTGGTCCTCTTTTCAAGGAGTGGTTTTGAATTTTTTATTGAAGACTACATCTTACGACAAGTCAAAACTTGCCTATTTGGGTAGCAGAAGTTTATAATGACAGAATTTGTTTATAGAATAGTAAGGTAGATAATAGTAATCGTTTACAGTAAAAAGGATTTGAATGATGAGGAATTGCATGAAAGCTTATAAGGAGAACGTTGACCAAAACTTCTTGATAGACTGGGTACGTATAACCGGTTACCCAATCCCCGAAGGAAAAAGCACAGTTTCCGCACAGTTCTCGCGCTATGCTGGAACTGTTCGGAACTGTGCTGCATGTGCTGCAGCCGCCCCGCACGGTTTTAAACGGCGGGAGTTGGAGAATTTGAACCGTTTTCAACGGTTTTTCTTCCAGATTTCTTTCATTTTGGCCTATTTCTCCACCCGCTTCACGTCTGATCAGCAGAACTCCGAATTCGAAGCAATGTTCAAGAATGAGCGCTTTTCTGCTTCGCGCATGCGACAAAACGTGTGTTATTGTGCTCGTCCATTCTCTCATCGCTATCGTTCAGAGACCTACTTCATGTGTTCTTACAAGTCGCTGCGTAATCTCGCAACTGTATTGAAATTGACATGAACAAGTCTCTAACATGAAGTAGGCCTGAACAAAAATGGCAGAGAAGATGGACAAGCGCACGAAGGTCCATTTTCCCGGATACATTTTGTTATCTTTATTTTATGCATACACTCGTGGTGCATAATCAAAAAACCGAAATCGAACAGAAAATCAGGCAACACAGATTTGAGACAAAAAATCAGCCAGTCCTCAGTCACAGAAGGAAGAAGAGATATAAATGGAAGACAAGACTAAACAAGACAAATACCGAAGCCCTATAATGACGATAGAGCCATTAATTGCAGCATAGCAAAGGAAAAAGCGGTAAGTTCAGAATAGTCTGTAGAATCTTGCTTCTTCTAAAGTTTATAAAGACCCCGTTATTGGGTGTCAGCGCGCCCCTCGGTAAAAGCTAGGTGACTTGACCCCGGCTGAATAGTTGCTTTAGAGGAGAGCAAGATTCGTTGGAAGTTGTAGGGATGAACGTCTACCATCTGTGCGCGACTGATATCCGACAAAGGTGGGGGGTGGGACTGGGCTACGGTGAGGGATATCATATGAATGAGGCTGGTTGATCTGATCATTAGTGGAAGCACTACGGTTAGCAACACAACAAACAATGCAATTAGCAGTCATTCTCTATACTTGATAAAGCACAAAGCAGAACAGCATTCAGTTCTCAATCCCGCTTCAAGTTCGCAGCTTTTTTCATGACGAGGAGAAGCGGGGATATGGAAAAAGGAAAGAGGCTGAAAAGCCCAAAAACGAAACTCATCTGAACAAGAGACAAGTCCCAATTCATGTTTCAGAATTGCTCCTACACTAATTTAAGGCAGATGGCTATAGAAACCAAGCAGCCGCTTCCTGGGTCAGTTGAAATAATTTTGAGCAAAAATAGCGAAGAGAGAATGGACGAGCACAATAACATACGTTTTGTAGCCTGCGCAGAGCAGAAAAGCGATTCTTTACCCCACTTCGAGTTCGAAGTTCTGCTGATCAGAAGTGAAGCGGGTGGAGAAATAGGGCCAAAATGAGAAAAATCTGGAAGGAAAACCGTTGAAACGGTTAAAATTCTCCAACTCCCGCCGTTTAAAACGGTGCGGGGCGGCTGCAGCGCATGCAGCACAGTTCCGGAACAGTCCCAGCACAGCGCGAGAACTGTGCGGGAACAGTTCCAGATCCTGGGAATTAGTATGAATCCAGCCTTACATGGCTATCTCCTGCTGGATTCTATGGCAATCACATGGCCATAAGGGTATATCATTTCAAACAAAGTTGTATATAAATTACGAATTTTAGGCTAAAATGTCATATGATTTCTGGAATATTTCCTTAGTAAGGGCTGAAAAGCCCTTTGTACGAATATAACAAATTAATGTTTAATGTTTTAAATTTAGTACCGCGGGTCAGCAACAAAAACGGCGGTTGAATCAAGGCTTTCAATCTTTTACTACAAAATCGTCGGCGTTACGCGGATGCTGCGAATATTTTGTAATGTAAATTAGAGGGCGAGGCTCATCTGAGCAAAGTGTCGATGTTATAATAGAACTACGGAGTGTTGCGCTAAAAACTAAGGTTAATAGTTCCTCGTGATTTGATTGCTGAAAGATAGAAGAGAAGTTGTAACAAGAAGCTTTTGAACTTTGTATAACGACTTCACATTGATAAAGCAGACCAAAAAATTTTGCTTTTGATTCACACATGCCTTTCATCGAAAGAGTTCGGGCTGTTCGCACAGATTTCGCATTTGCAGGGAAGCATACTTACACGCTATGCAAATTTCAACCATCTACAACTGCATGGACACGCCATTCCCGTGTTTGATACAAAAGTTGCACATGTTTATACAAACGAAACCTTAAGTCACTAACATCCTCGATTTCGTTGCCGCTTCCTCTTTACCAGACAGCACAGCGCTCAGATTTTTCTGGGTTCATCGGTGTGCACTTCCTACACTTGAAAGCACTAGCAAATTCGGGCTGGTTGGCTAGCACTTGATTGACCCTAAAGAGGAATGTATGCAAGATGTAGACGCAAGTGTATGGGCTCAACGGAGTTCTTGTGAATTAAGAAAACGTGCCGGAGAATGCCTATCAGTAAGAATTTGGTTGACCAATTTCTGCCGCGTGGTATGCTCACACCAAACCTTGAACAATGCCACTTGATATGGTGTATGTTTTTTATGAGCCTAAAAGCCTTTACCGAAGCATAGCATGAAAAACATCTGATCGTTGTCATATTTTTCGAGGCCTTTGATCCTCTTTTCGTTCCCACCATACCTTTGCAGAAAGGCTTTGTAAGCCTCAACAATACATGAAGTATGGTGCAGATATTGAGTAATGTTAGCTTTGTGATATACCTTGTAAGCCTGTTTAACTCCACCATTATCAGCAATATTTTCTCCTAGCGTAAGTTCACCATTGATAACGTGATTAGTACCTGGTACCTAAATTAACAGTACCTAAATAATTTGCCAGTACCTAATCTGCCAGTTTTACCTAAATTAACAGTACCTAAATAATTCTGCCTACCTCAATCTTACTGTACTGATCGACAAAGCACTGGGCACGCTTTTCAAACTTTTTCTTCACGTCCTCATCCCACCAAGTGTTAAGATTACCTAAAGCATCATATTGTCGTCCTGAAGAAAACGTGGAAGAGTATGCGATGAAAAGAGGAACTAGTAATTGATTTGTAATATTATCAGCTATTTGCGAGTTTAAGATATAGAAGAACTAATTACTTGTATCATCAAAGCCGTGTGTGATTTCATGCCCAATAACAGACCCAAACCCTCCGTAAATAAATGCCGTGTAATTAGTAAGCTCTTGTATTAGGGTGATTCAAAAGTAATGGGGCACCTTGATTTTTTTAACATTCTTTAAGATCTCTTTCTGATTAGCGATGAACAACAAGCAATTCGAACGCTGTTGTATTAGGTCGCTCCCAAAGTAATGTCGCTTTTTTCAAACGTACGCCACATTTCGTGGAACAAAGATGTGTAAGAGATTTTGGTAGCATTTGATGCAGCATTTCTTTCTCTCTCTAATGGCTATATAACTACCGCACAAAATTGAATAACCTCTGGGAAAATTATCGGAATCTGCGACCCATGCTTTTTAAGAAGGTCAAGTTTCACAATTTTTCCAAATTTCATAACAACCCCTGGAAGGAGTCCAAGTTATGTATGGATAGAGCAAACCCCACGGGAAACAGCACAACTTTTTTCTACTTTTCAGAGCTCGTCATAATTCCTGTATAGATTTTTTAATGAAACCACCGAATTTTAGCAGGTTCTTCTCAGACACAAGTGCATCAAAAACCAAGAAATCGTCAGATTTTGAAACTTACAACAATGGCTTATGGTTTTGCACTAATTTTACAAAGCAAATGAGCGTTTACCGCTTCAGATTAGCAATTTCGAAAATTCAGGGTACAGCCGGAGGTGCCCTGGAAAACCTGAATGATGATTTTATCTCGGAAACTTGATGAATCGTAAACCAAAAACAACTGTTAAAAAGAGGAGAAAAAGCTGCGTCGAATGACACCCGAGTTGCTTGCCGGTTGTTGTTCTGTGAGTTGAGTTGACCAAATATGGAATTTGATGGCATTTTAAAACTGATTCCAGAAACTCTAAGAAGCAAGCTAAGGAAAAGAAAAAAATTACTCTGTGTCCTATAGGGTTTGCTCTATCTACCTGCCACTTGTACATCTTCGGAGAATAGGTACAAAAATTTTAGAAAATTGCCGAACTTGACCATGGCAAAAAGCATGGATTGCAGATTTTGTTGATTTTTCGAAAGCTCAATGAAAGTTATGCAACGAAATTATAAACATTAGAAAGAGGATGAAAGGCTGCATCGAATGCTTTTAAGATGTCTTGAAAATCTTGATTCCATGAAATGTGGCGTTCTTTTGAAAAAAGCGACATTACTTTCGGAACGACCTAATAAAAGTGACCTTCGCAGGTTATCTTGACAGCACCTTGCAGCACCTCACCGACACTCCTTTGAGTGGCGCTTCAAAAAAGTCAAACGGACTTTTTTGAACGCCATCCGAATTTGTGCTGCTGCACCTGAAAGTCCCTCGACATATGGCAAACCATTCGAAAGAGCTTTCCAAGCTCTTTCTAACGATTACTTGAATATTTAAAAAATGCACATTATTTCGTACAAAAAAAGCACTTTATTCGAAAAAGAGCGGTGTTTGGCGCAGATTTTCAGACTGAAATTCATGTTTTGGCCCGCAATTTCTTAAAAATGAGAAAAGTCGAAGTAATTTGCACATGCACGGACAGAGCGTAGAAAGCACAATTAGAAAGCAACTGTTAAGGTTGAGCTTATTTGATTACTTAATATGTCTCCTAATACCCAATGCTATATCTTCTGTTCCAAAGCCTTGGGACCACCGGGCTATCGTGGATTTGGTAACAGTCGCCTCACCCATTGCTGCGCAGATATCTTAGGTAGACTCACACGTTCTACTGCGGCGCTGCTGCTCAAAGTTTAAAATTACTTGAAGTGATGAGCTCTGATTTTGAGCGCTTATAAAAATAACGCCATGTGACAATGCCTATCTGTGGACCTCGATTGGAGGGTTTTGCTATGTACTAACATCTGCCAAAACTTGGACTTCCAATAGCTTTTCTATTTAAGAACTGCATTTATTCTCTAGGTGCCCCATTACTTTTGGATCACCCAGAAACTATGAAGAATTCGAGATAATAAAACAGCTTTGTGCACTTTCCACATTTTAAATTTGTCTTCGATGCCTGGAAAATTGATTCATTTTTCACATTTATTAACTTTTTGTGGGGTTTCTGACCTACCGCTTACAGGAAAGGACACTTTCATCCAACCGTTTGTAACATGATATAAGTGGTTTGTCTTGCTTCGGAACGCAATCTCACCTTGATATTTTGGATATCATGTAAGGAGCGGATTGCGCCTAATGTTTGAATATTGTTTTGTCTAGAAAAAAAGAATTGCCCTGTATCGAATAAAATTTCAGCTTTTTTCAAGGTCACTGCGTTTTGTTCTATAATGCCGCATGATGTGCTTCAGAAATTACACGCCATTTGGAGACAAGAGCATAATCCGAAACTACGAATATTGCATTTTTTTTTATCCGAATATATTAGGCTGATGCAAAAATAATGAGCGTTTCTCAATTTTTCACTTTAACTTGCTATAACTTTCTACAAAATCTATGCACATTTTGAAATGTGATAAAGACCATAAGATGCAGCGAACCTTTCGCAGTACAGCGCACATTGACCTATACTCATATCTCATATGGGCAGAAAAATATGGATTGAAAAACAAAAAAAATTTTCTTCTGAAGTCTTGTTTTTGGCAAAACGTAACTCCTTTCTTACTTTGTTGTTACCGTTTATAAGCAACCTATCTTGTAGCCACAAGCCAGTAGTACATATATACATGGAAATGGTTTGGGGAAAAAAGACTAGCGAAGAGGGAAAAATCGAAATTCAAAAATATCAACTTTTTTAGAATTTTTTAATAAACTTCGAAACCCCGAAGTATAGAATTTTCTAATTTTCTCCGTACTGAGCACCTGGATGTTTTTGCAAAAACTGCTAATAGGACTCCTACCCTCACGCTTACAGAGATGAGCAAAGTTTGAGCGACTGCATTTTACAAAAGAAAGTCATGGGCTCTAAAATGACCACAACCAGTACCCATGTTAAGCCGCCGATATCTCACTTTAGATAGCTTGAAAGTATGGTTAGATATGCATAATGTAGACAATTCCCATCACATATAGCCGCTATATTTTCGATAAGCCATCTTCATTCGCGCTCAAATTCTGGCCAGAAAAATGAATGCAACTAAAATCTGATTTGCGATTATTTGAAGCTCTATAAATTTTTAACAGAGTGGGCGAAAAGCCTATTCCGAACACCATTAAATAGAGCATGAAAAGAGCTTCCTAGCAGTGTGCAAAAACCAAAACAAAGAAAGAAGTTTGATAGAGAAAAGTTGTCCTGAAAAAAGTCATAGGAAAACGCTCATTATTTTTGCATCAACCTAATATAAACACGTTAACGACCTTGTGTATCCGCATGTATGCACGCCCTAACTCCCGTTTAGCATTTTCGTGCATCTGCGCATATGCACGCTAGCTTTTTAGGTGCAAACGAAAGGTTTCAAGGTATCTTCTATGCAGTAATACTACTAGCGGCCTGATTGTCTTACAGAACATAGGGCATTGCGGCAGCTGTTCAGGAGTTTTGGCAGCAAAATTTGGTAGTCAGTCCGTTTTTGATGTAGTCAATGCATGGTAATTACGTTTTTTCGAGAAGGTGAAAACTCTGTATAGTTGTTTTGAAATCAAACAAGGATGAATCAGGCAAAAAACACCTGGTATTACAACGCTTTTCTCGAAGAGGGATTTCTCAGATATAGCCATTGCATGGTTTATTGGAGGGAAAATCGATGCGAAACCCTTGATTTGTGTAAGTCCTGATGAGGCTCTGTGATATACCTGTATGGCTGAACAAAGTTCGCTTGTTTTATGAATAAGTGTCAAAAAGACTCCCACATAATGTTTTCGTGCATCCGCGCGTATGCACGGGCCAAATGCGCGAAGGACTTTAGTGTGAGTTTCGCCCAAAATGGCGCGGTCGTCAACGTGTTAAACCAAGATTCTTTGCATAAAAAATCATTATTGTGAGTAATGAAGAAAAGTTGTGAATAATTGCTATACAAGGCGTGAGCTTTGCATCTTCGCTTCGATAAAGCAAACTTTGGAATGCGATCAGAGTGTCCTTACAAAAAAACTTTTCCAAATTTCTGACTGGCTTCAGGAAACAAGTTATCACAGAAAAGACTTGGCATTGACATCACATAGGTCACGGCAATCAAAAGCAATTAGCGACTTTCGCTTGCCGCCTGATGTCGAAAATTTTGTCTGTACGCTGACTGTGAGCAATATTATAAGTACAGCAAGAACCATATAAAGTTTGACTGTGTTTGATTTCATTTTATTAAAGTTTAGAGAAAATTGGAAAAGATTAGATTTTACCACACACCCTTCCGGTTACCTAAGCTGATTTGCAATCAAATCTGATTGGTTTGCTCGCATTGTGCGCTAATCATGCTAATGATTAGTGTTGCATTTTGAATTGCCGAAGTCTATGTGAGGCCTACTATTCGATCTGACTATCGCGCTGGTTTGGTGTAGTTCATACCGATTTACAACCGATTAGCTGGAAATAGCTTGCCAAACTAGGGATGACACTAGAGTGCTAGAAGAGATTGTTTATTAGAAAAGGCAAAGAGGAATACCAATACGCATTAACGTTCAGTACGTACACCTATGTTCAGGACAGTGATCAAGCTTTCAAACGACGGATGCTTGAATCGTAAGTTAAAAAAATCAAGTTGCTTTGCACTAAGTATTGAACAATTGATGTTAGTAGTTCACAGATAATTATATGGCATCATCAGTAAACAAACGGACAAAGGCTGAGAGGAGCAAAAGACGAAAAATCGAGGGAAGCTCATATGATTATAAGGTAATGGAAGCTTTTTTTTTCAGATTTTTTACTATTGCGAAATAAGAGTGTGACTCGTTGCCAAAGCACGACGAACGGTGTGGATCCAAGTTGGGTGCGTATAGCGACGGAAAGTGAAATCGTATAAAGAACTCAAATAAACAAAAAGCTTCACTACTCTTTTTAAAGCACGCCTCATGCTTGATTTGCTTAATCCACTTAATCCGCTTGATCTGCTTCATCATTGGTCAATTCAATGAACTGACCAATAGTGAAGTGGATGAAGTGGATGAAGTGGCACCAGCGGATCAAGAGGCTTCGCTATTGCTCAAAAGGCAAAGTTCCCAAGTCAGCTCGGCCAACCCGAATGAGTCATATATCACCGTAACGGGCTTGAAACGCTGATTTCAAATCTGCTTTCCTCTTCTGCGGAGCAACTTTCCGAGGCAAGTTATGAGCGTTTAAATGTCTAAATTTGTCATGTTCAAAGTGGCTTAAAATCAGTTGAAAGCTATAGAACAACATCTAAGGGTATTTCATTATCTGTGTTCCGTCCTTGTAATCAATATGCTTGATACAAAACTGATAAATCACTTTCATGTGTTATTGTACAGGTTTCGCCAATTTAAGCCACTTAAAACATGACAAACTTAGACTTTTGAACGCTCATAACTTCTCTCGGAAAGCCGCTCCGCAGAAAAGGAAATCAGATTTGGAATTAGCGTTTCAAGCCTGTTACGGTGATGTATGACTCATCTGGGTTGGCCGAACTGACTTGGGAACTCTCCCTCGTCAGTTCACTGAATCGACCAATGACGAAGCGGATCAAGCATGGCCGTGCCTAAGTCCAATTCACACGTGTTATTCACAAATCTTACATTATCTGCTCTACCCCCGATCTTTACTATATGAGATGTGGTTCCGGATTCTCTTCTCTGCTCTCTGCGAGTACCCAAAAGAGGAAACAAAACGCCAGCTCTTGAAGGCAGTCTTCGGGCAAAAATCGATTTTGAGATTTTGTGCTTACCTGGGCTTATTCGCTATATAGGGCGCGAAAATGGCGAAAAACGGCTCTAACACAGAAGGGAAATCAGCAGGTGGGCGGAGTCCTCCCCACTGCGAATTCTCGTTCCCGGCTTCCAGAGCGACCTTCTCGCTTCCGGTTTCAAGTCAATCATTCGCACTTGCCCGGTAACGATGTTAGGACGGCTAGCGAAATCGAAAACATCGCTCCGGGAGCTGAGAGCTTGAAATCGCACTGGGGAAAGCCCCGCCCACCTGCTGCTTTCCCTCCTGTGTTAGAGCCCTATTTCGCCGTTTTCTCGCTTTCCAATGTGGATTTTCGGGTTCAACATGGCGAATAGGCCCGTATAAGCACGAAATCTCAAAATCGAGTTTTTGCCCGGACACTGCCTTTAAGGAAGAAAGTGCCCCCCGAACTCACAAAAATTGCGCATTTGACGCGATAAAGCATTGTAAGCTTTGAAGTTGGAAAAGCAAATTCGTTTAACATTTTCTCTACTCGGGTGTTGGTCCTGTGCGACTCGATTGGTACTCGCTTTTCTGCACCTCTCTTTTCTTCTAGTTTACGCACTTTTATACCAGCAATCTAAACCTGCTAGGTTAGCAGGCATGCGCTTCGAAACCCTCCTCGGCCCGCTATTCGAAGATTTTTGAAATGAGCTAACGATTCTTTATATACCAGATTGTGAGTTACATGCAGGGCCCGGTTTGTAGGGTTTCTGAAAACGAAGTCTCCCCTGACTTTCGGAAGTTTTACGAAGCTCCCTTTGCCCTACCTGCTTAGGAAAAGATGAAAGCAAAGAAGATTTACTAGTTTGAAAGAAAAGACAAAAGATGAGAGTAAAATCCAAATTGGAGCTGAACATTACGCGTGCACAAGACTTTGGCATTAGAGCGCGATATTTGACAAAGCGAGAAGAAATGAAGGCAAAAAACAAAGAAAGGCAATAATATGAAAATGTCTTCATGTTCAGGGATAGATTCTTGTCCGGGGAATCCGTTCATGCTGGAAAGATTCGAAACTTATGTGAAGTGACGAAAACATATGCCTCTAGACGATCTCAGATTGTCTGGTGGCCGTCTAAAGACGATCTAAATTTGGAAAAGGTATTCCTTCACATAACACTTTTTACATAATTCTTCCTCAAATAATTTTCTATACATGCAGTTCAATTTTGGTGTCATATGCTTCTGTGTGCACTGTAAACAAGCAATTTGTTTGTTTAAGCCTTGCTTTCAAATCGCGCGCACTTTTCGCCATACACGATAGAGCATGTCAATCGTGTGATAACCTGTCCGAAAAGCTTGTGTTCGACTAAATTTTTATTCTTGTTGCTCGGTTCCGTTCCGACTCGGCAAAAACGAGATCCCATTCGTTGTTTGCTTCAGAAACGAAGTCCAGCCTGCTTCCAGACGATCTGTGCCGGACCCTGGTTACATGCGCCAGGGTGTCAACGTGCATGGCTCTTGAAATCGCGGTATAAGGCTCTGCGTGATCGCGGGAGCGACACTTTGCAGCCATTGCATGCGCATTGAGCTTTCCCAATTATGCTTTTTTTTCAAACGTTTTTCTGCTATCAGATGTTAGATTCCAGTTAACTGAAACAAATTTGAAAAGCACTGAATTGATCAAAATGTTTGAGGCCTTGTGGCATCGTGGCTTTTCTGAATTTTGTAAGATAGTTTTCGACGGCAAACTATGGGGTATAAGTTCGAGTCTTTTATGATAAATCAAGGTAAAACTAAAGCCTTTCTATTCTCAAGAATTACTTAAAGGCATGTTTGGACCATTTTTTGGTTTGAGACTTTCTGTCATGCGAAAGTGGACCAACTCGGGACGCGACTGCTTCATAGTAGCAAGAAATATGGTTGGGCGGGTTTTTGTCCGGACACTGCTTTTCAAAGACCCGCGCAAACTAGTACTGTATCTCGGAGGGTAAAGAATTATATGTCGCCGGAAGTGGGAGGGTCCGGCGCTGACAATGCAGCGGATATTCGGCCTGTGCATGTATTGGAAGGTGTATTTGTCGCAGATGTTCGGCAAGACCTCCCACTTTCGGCGACAGATAGTCCCTTACCCTATCTCGTAGACTGAACAACACATGCTGGTTTGACTAGCATGCTCTTGTTCAGTCTACAAAGTATAATGTTTTGTGTTTCTTTCTACCAACGTTGAGAGTTTGAATAACATTGTGGATGATGATGTTGAGTGAAAATCATCAGAAAGTAGCAAAGGAAACTGCTATTTTTTCAAATAAGGTGCAAAGATTGTCAGCTAAAACTAGCCTTGGAAAAGTGTGGTGGAAGAATGGAGCTTGAACAATGGCATCAGGGAATTCTGGAAAAATCAGTATGCGGAGACCTAAACGAACGTCTTACTCTGCAGCTTACTAATAGAGTTTTGTGTGTCGTAGTAAGCGTACACTACAGCTGAGTTGAAAACATACTCAGGCATTAAATACATCTTCAAACGATTGATTCCATCGTCTGAATACTCGTCTGAAGATGTATTTAATGCCCCACCGAGCCACCTTTTCCAGCTGTTTACCGTACGAATCTTCGTCATTGAAATGCATCTGGAACAAGTTGTTGCGCTAACATAACCATGACATGTGATGTACTCACTCCCTCATATTGTTTGTCAACCTTCTTGTCATCTAGAATGAAGTCGGGATATGCTACCAGATGCAGCGTTTTCTTTGCCTTGTACAAAGCTTTCTGAAATCTTTTGATTGTTTTGCAGTCATTCTCTACTCCGTAAGCTTGCTTTTTTGGTTGGGCCGTCCAACCCAATGTTAGTCTTGAGCATAACGCGGAAGGCCGCTTGCAAATCATCGATCATACTCAATGTGACCTTTTTTGATTCCTGAAGTATCGAAAATTAATCAGCCTTCATCACGCGCTTAAGTACCTTGTCGAATGCTTTCCTCATGTACATCGCACTAGTTGCGTATTTCGTTGGATCCCTAGTGCTTTTAGTACATTCCTTCCACCGCGGTTCTTTCTGTTGTCTTCCATACATTCCGCGCATATAATCCTAGATTTCAGTTTGAAGTTGAGTTACGTCAACTAGGAAACACCTCTGATGGAAGCTAGTTTCAAACTATTACCAGCTATCCAAAGCAAAAGCATTTCAACAACAACATGCTGCTACCTGAGTGACGTTCTCGTATCTTTCTCCCATCTCCTTTGTTAATATTGAAGAGAATCGTAAAAAAACGTAGTTTGTGATGATGCGAGGGTCCGTTTCATTTAAGAGTTCGGTTATTTTATACTAAGCTGCTGTTATACTCAACTTTAAACAAGCTTTCAGGTGCACTTTCTCAAATAATCGAAATCTCGAACGAGAATGTGTGGGTTTGATTCAAAGTAAGAATGGGCAACAGCTGGAGCGACTTCGCGCGGAAAAACCGGTCCCAGTCAATCTGATTAAAAGATAACTTGTGGTTTGATTGATCCTTTGTTTTTTGGCGCAAAACGATGCGTAAATACGAACCAGTGGCATGTATTTTCTCAATTTTCTGAGGCGACGCAGATTGTGAAACTCGTAACGATTTTCGGTCGGTCAGCCCCCGATGAAGCGCTAATCTTTGCTATTTTTGTTTGTAATCCAGTGACTTCGTCTACATCCTTTTCAGTCTTCGTTCTGTTTATGGGGAGTTCGCCATCTTCTTGATAGAGGTATGCGGTAGAAAAATTCAAATCTAAGTTTGAATACTGGAAATAAGTTACTTTTTCAAGAAGAAACTTTCGGTACGCATCGATCTTGTCGCCATAAGTGTCCCTATTCAGGTACATCCTTCCCAGCAAAAAGAGTCCTCCTTTAGTAAACTAGAAAAAGGAACAGTCAGTATGTTTTTGATAATTTTGAATATATACTAATAATAAGGAGATTTTTGACTTCCAAAAATGTAACGCAACTAAGTGATTGCCTCAAAGGCTTCAAGTTGCACTCATGCATACTTGTAAGCAAGGTCAAACGTGTGCTGTGATTGTCGCAACGGAGGCTGCGTTCAGACTGATCTCGAAATCCGGGAACAGTTTCAGCACAGCGCTCATTTCAAGCGCTGTGCTGGAACTGTTCCCGGACTTTGGGATCAGTATGAACGCAGCCCGAGAGTGGTTAAGCGGGCACTTACAGCAGAGAGGAGGGGTCGTAAGATAGGGGGAGCTTGGATGTAAAAGACCTTGGAAAAAAAATTGACTAGCAAATAATAATCAAATGTTTCCTCACAATTCAATGGTGTGCGTTAAAGGCACCGTCCACCCTAAGTTGAGGATCTTGAGCATTTAGAAGCATATGATAGTAGGGCGTTCTATCCCAATGCCCGAGTCGCTGCGCAAAATGTCACTTCGGAAGCGAGAAAATCCCTCCGGAATAACGATAACGACGCACAAAACCTCCAAACGGCATCGCCTCCCCATCCTTGCCCATCCATCCCTGCGCGTCCATCTCATCACCGTTCCGGAAAGCCTGCCTGTGGGTTCTCCTGAATTGGGATTTTTCTAAGTTCTTTTTCTGAACATGTAGTCGGAGTTTTCTTGACTACATATTCAGAGTCAGAGACTTGAGAAGGCCCTGTTGCACAGAATGCTGATCTTGAATCTGTATTCATCCATATCTGCTTAGCAATGTGGGCGAAGTTAGGAGCCGTTAATTAAAGGCCGTTATTTTGCTAAGAAGTCGTGCATGCAAAGCGCAGTTTGGGGGTACAGAGCCATGTTCGGCTTAATGCTGAGCCGAAGCATGCAACTGGTTACTTTATATACTTGGCAACAATGTGTTCAACAATTGGCAATTTTCATGTGCGACTTTATCGCTATAAAACCACTCATAACTTTGCCCATAAAAGCGCCAATCAGATTTGGAGTACAGATTCGAAATCAGCATTGAATGCTGCATCGAAAAGTAGGTGTAATGCTTGGATTAGCCACTTTGACTTCTGAATATCTCCTCGTCAGCATTTTTTCTTTCTTCAGAATATGGCACTGCAGATGGAAATCGAACATGCTGGCTTTGAGTGAGACTGAAACTAAAAAACAGTGGCACCGAGGGGGAGCCGAAAATGGGTCGCAAAATTTTTAAAAGTCACTTAGATAAGTTATAGAAATGTGCAAGCGACCTTACGCTTGTGAATAATTAAAATAATTTCTAAAATTTATGGAACATTTAATTCAGCTCCATAAAAATTTCGGGGCTTTGGGCCTGAAGCATTTTGAAGCAAATCAAGAAAATTTTCGGAGTGGTGGCTGACGCCACGCGCCTTCCCCAAAAAAATTTTTGACCCCTCCCCCTCCTCCAAAACGAAAATCCTGGGTACATTACTCCTATGCATGTAAATGAGAGAAGGATGTTGAATGCACCGATTGGGGGTAGAAGTTCTGCTTTTAAAGCCTCAGTGAAGTCTCACACATTCAACAGCGCATGTCCTGTCAACAATCGCCAACAATAATTTGTGAATCTTTATGTAATGTTGTACAGCCTAAATATTCAGCTGTACTTCGGGAACGCCCTATCATATGGTAAAGCCTGTGAATTTTCCTGCAATTTTATATATGGCAAGAATAAATGAAAAATGGGGGATATCTGGATCGCGTTCAAATTTCATGGAGCTATAGAAGCTTATTCATTGCAATTTCTCCCCTTGCGGCACCATCCTTCTACTATCTGTCCTGAGAATGTCGCGGTGTTTCGTTGCGTCTTATGTTACAGGCTTCCAGGCTTGAAAATCACAATTTTTGGATTTAGGATCGCATCTATATTTGCTAAGTTTGCCTATTATAAAATAATTAATCATCACGATTAAAGTTAAATGCTTTGTGTTTTTGCGTTTTTCTTAATTGCTATCTTATTTCGTTCTTGTTCATAAATAAGCGTCTAGGCAGGATACGCTTTAAGTGTGTCGGTATCAGACTAGAAATAGTGTTCATATTCGTCAAGATCATTCATCTTTTTGCGGCAACAGTGCAGCCAAATTTTGTAGAATTTTCCTAACCCAATCTACGCGATTATCTTGAAAAGTTTTTGAGTAATCAAACATTTCTTGTTGCATTATCTCCCTTTGTAAGCAAATTTCTCTTCCTCCGACTTTTGATTCTTAAAAAGGATCCGTCGGCATCCTTTGAGGTGATTTGACATTCGTTAATGCAGGCTAGCGAAAAGGCGTGGAGATGAAGCAAGGGGGAGGAGGGGGAGGAGGTTGTAACACAACACGCTTAACCCTACTTGTGATTTTTGTTCAAAATACTGTAGGTTGAGTGGGCTGATGCGAGGTGTTCGTTTGTTACATGAGTTCACCAATGAACGTTTAACTCAAAATCTGCATAAATTGGACTTTTCGAAATAAAAAACAACATCTAATATCAAACGGCTGACCTCTGCAACATCAAATGATCTCAGGTGATTGTATTGATAAAGGAAACCTTTCAATACTTTTTTATGCCTAAGCATACATAGCCCCTATCTAGCCGCTACATTATTTGGAGGGTGTCAAATGTCTTGCCAGATGTCTCTAGTTTTACTACGGTTTCTATGCAAATTGCAATTACAGCAACCGCTATTCATTCACAAAACTTCAAAAGGTTTCTTGTGTCAAGCTTGCATGAAAGGCGAGTCCATTTACCCTATTCTCAGGTGTAGGAGCAGTACCCTTGCTTTAAAGGCGAGCACGCCAGAATCCGCGCGAGACCTCCTGCCATAGGGCGCCTTAACTGGGGAAATAGAAGGGGACTAACAGCTTCGGGCGCAACGCGCAGCGGTGCATTCTTCTTGCGTTTAGCAACTGAGTGACCATTGTACAGCTGAGAAAAAAGTTTTAGATTTAACCAAAAAGAAAGCGAAAATGTCAAGGAATTTCTGATTGCTTGTATCTTGTCGTGCGTAGTCCAACAACGAACAACGTACGTTTACCTTCGCGCATGCATGGAACGATTACGAATAACACGTTGCCTATCCACGAACCGTTTCTTTCGGTTAAAACTTATCCTCGAACGGTCCCACCTTCAAATCTCTATGTGAAGTCCGTGGAAGAGGAGAGAACAAATTGATTATCTGCTCTTGTTGGAAAAAATCTGTTACCGGTTTAGCAAAAAAGGAAAAAAGGAGTGCACATTCGACCCTACCTACAGTGCTGGGTAGTAAGACCGATGTCAGGCTGCTAGAGGCGCCTGGTTTGAAGAAAAACGACACGTCTTGGACGGCACACCATGAAGCTGCCCCATGCTCTGCACCAGCGTCAGGTCCGTCTCCACGACGCATCTTCACGCCTTCCTTCACGCTACAGCAGTCGAAATCGCTGGTTCAGTAAAATGTATGAAATCATAAACAACACACAGTTTGAGGAATGTGAGAAGTACGAAAACACAGCCTATGACTTTTGAAAAAAAAACGTTGTAAATTAGTCCTCATCTCGCTACCATTATCATACTAAATTACGCATATGTCTATTTTTGCTTTCATATTTTGGGGAGGTTACGTCAAAAAACATGCTACGATGACTGCGAGTGAACTGAAAGTTAAGCGGTTTAAGCATCAAATTTTGTTTGGAGTATACAGGGTGTCCCAAAAGTAAGTACACACTTTTCAATCATCAATATCTCTCTTCCCAATGGGTCTTTTTTCCCCAGTCAAGAACGATTCTGTAGAGGAGGCTTCAACTTAGATTTATGTTACTGAGCGAATCACCGATCACTTACCGTTATTGTAGGATTACGGTAAGAATTTCCAGAATGTGGAATCATTGTGAAATATGCCATCTGACAAAATTTTTTTCAAAAAGTCTGAAAAATCGTGCATCAGGGATTTCGATCACGCTGATTCCTCCACACAACTTCTCGCGAGTGTTTTCAGCTTTTTTGACGACGTAATTAATTTCTGACAAATACTGGGAATTCGATTATAATGGTTTACCTGGTATAACTTTTTGAAGAAGCATCTTAGAAAGTAAAAATCTCATAGTCGAAATCAGCGGCTTCCATTACCATAACATAAGAGCTTTTTGGCTCGTCTGGTTTTGTTCCGAG